AAAGAGTTGTCAGAACTAATTGTATTGCTCTTTGGGCAGCCTCTACTGGTGCTAAAATACTCTGGCAATGCAAGTAGTTTAGATGTCTAGACAGATAAGGTAGCAGGAGCAGTTGAAGATTGGGGAGGTTGAAAACCAGGGCGAGTGGTTCTTGTGAAGCCTCTTGTTCCAGGTGGAAGTGAAGGTCCAAAATAATTTCTGCAGCAGATATGAAATGTATTGAAAGGATGGTGATTTATCTGAACCTAAAAGGAAGGCAGAAAATATGGCAACAGCTGGGTTTGGAAAGATGATAGGCAGTAGAGGAGGGTGTCCATAACAAATACTCATGGTATTCCTGTCGGGTCTCTATTTTCATTTGCTTGCCCCTCTCCTTCCCCAGGGTGAGGAGCCGCAGAAACCAGGCAGCTGAGACATTGCCATGTTTGGGTCTGCAAGATTCTCCCTGCTCTATCACGTGTCTCTGTCTAATGCTGAATGTGTCTTTCTTCCTTTGTGCAGTTTTCTGCCGTGTGTATATAACAGAGCACTCCTATGTCAGTGTGAAAGCTCAAGTATCCACTTCAGCTCAGGAGATACTGAAGATTGTAGCAGAAAAGATCCAATACCCAGAGGAGGAGCTGGTGCTGGTGACAGTCACGTTCTCTGGTGGTAAATAACTCCCCTTCGTCTGATTACTTACCTTTTAGTGCATCGTATAGAGAAGAGCTGACATTTCCTTGTGCAAGGATACAGTTGTTCCTGTGCAGGCCCACAGCTGGATGACCACGGGAACAATAAGGAGCTGCTTCCCAGAGAGTCGTTTCCATGGCAACAGCTCATTCTTGGGTATCATTGGATACGGCATCTCCTTGCTGGGAAGGGAGTGCAAAGGACTCTCAGTCTCCAGCAGTATTGCAAGATTTTATTTGTTCCCTACAGATAAATCTCCTACTTTCACATTTAAATTAATTTGGAAGGTGATGATGGGATGGTTTGCTTTAAAAATGTAAAAGGGAATAGCAAATACTATTTGTGTGGCTGTTTACTCATTTATAGCATGGGTAATGAATATTCCTTAGCAGAAAGGAGGGAGACATGTATTTGCACAGTTGAGATACTAAGAGCAATCTAAGCAATATTTTGTAAGCAGTTTTGCTTACAACTGGCATTTTTTGCTATTATTTTAGCGTTTCTCATTGAACAGAAAGGCTTATTGTCTTTTTCAAGGAAGACCAGACTGATCGTGGGCTGATACTAAGGACCAGCCAAACCCCCAAGTATTTCTTTGGGGTCTGGCAGGTCTCAAGCTCTTTGATGAGATTGTTTTGCTCATTGTGGTATCTTTTGGCTCTTAGGGAATATAAAGAAAGCAATTTAGCTGGGCACGTAGAAATGTGAAGCTGAATCTACAAAAAGGGGCTGAGAGCGTAGAACATCTTGGCCATAGTCTCGGAAAACAACATGGTGTCAATCCCCTGGGAGAAAGGATGCACCTTTGCTACTTTTGTCAGTCTAGTTAAATGGAATATACACAGATGATGGCTTGTACTGTTTCTTTATTTGATTCAGATCTGGAAGGCCACATTTTTCTCCCCCACACTGAGCTCTATTAAATAACCATTTTTTTGTAAGGCAACAGTGTGGGTGGCAGGAAGATGGTGCCCTGCTCTGGCTGTGGAGAGTCTGGGCACAGAGCAGTCACAGAGGAGCACTACATGTAGGTGTCCTGGCCAGCTGGACTGCATCATTTGCAGGCATATTGTTTTTTTCCTTTGTGTATGCCCACTCCAGTTCATTTTACAGCTCTGCAAAATCACTGGGCTGCTGTTGTTTTTCAGGTCTTGTGCTCCTGTTCAAAAGCAGAGCAAGTTTTGCTCTGATGACAATAAATCTGGTGCTAACTGCCTACTTAGCTAAAGAAAACAACAATTCATAAATAACGAAACACACTATTATCTTTAGACCACACTGATTCTCAGGAAAGCTGCAGAATAGAAGTGGTTGCCATGTGGCTCTTCAATAAGAAATAATTATTAAAATAGAAGTACGATAGGGCTGTCATTTGTACATGGCCATTGTAACCCTCAAAATGTTAGTCATGGTGCCTGAATTAATTTGAGATACCACAATTTTGGTATCTTTGTTTTTAGCATTGTCAGTCCTGTGCTGCAAGCAACAATACATGAGCCTGCCATGCTTTCATTTTTGTTCTTTGGTAGTTTTGATGTGTTTGCATGACTCAGAACTGTCATTTGCCATCCACTTGGAGGGCAGCAGTATGAGCACTGGAGAACACTTTTTTATTGTACTCACTTCAGGAGTGTTCTTTTTGTTCAAAATTACCTTGAAAAAACAAACTGGTAGTTCAGCATAAATGTATCTAGTGTCAGTGTGAGCATGGATAAGAGGGAAAACAGTCTGAAATGGTGTTTGGCTCTCAGACTTGTCCTGGTCCTACTTCTCCCTCATGAGCAATGCGAAGTCCAAGGTAGCTGTCAACATGACTGTAGTGATTTTGGGTCTCCATAATATAGTCATTATAATCAAATCTCATGTGTCAGGTCTTGGAGCCTGCAGGAAGAGGCAGTTTTCCCAGGGCAGATTTTAGCTGTGTTCTGGGTTTTGCTTTATTTTTCCCAACACCTTTCTCTGGTGCATCCAAGATTGCCCAGAGCTGAACCAGTACTCTGGAGTGGAGAAGTCCTTTCTCTTTGCTACCAGTTTGGTATGTCCTGCTCTTTTACTCAGATGTTTCCTAACTAACTGAATTACTCTATGCCTGCAAGAAGTTTTGTAAATACTGTACTATAAAGGACTCTTTGTTCTGTTCTGTGGGGCGAGTTTCATGGTGCTTGGATCCTTTAAACTTCTTTTCCCATCAAATGGCTGTGGTTACATCTCCACCCCTGCTATTGTCTGCTAATGACAGACAACAGCTCAGTCTCTGGAGGCTGAAATGGTTTGTTCTAGCAAAAATCTTTACATTTACAGTAGCTACACCGGGTTGAAATTGAATGTTCTGTAATGTATAGGAGGTTAGAATGGATGATTCAAAGGTTTCTTTCTGTTCTATCCTATGTGAAGTATACTTTGAAAGCAGATGCTGGAAGGTTTTGTGCTCTAGTCTAGCACCAGAGACATCTCTCCTTTATTGTGCCTGAATAGTGTGGAGATGATGGTCCCCACAGGGAGTGGATCTGATACGTAGTTACATTCTAAGAACTTAATGTGGCTGTATGACTACATTTGTAATGGTTTTCTCATATTTATATACAGCTTTTACACCTTTTCTGTAGCTTTTGTGTTTTATTTTCTGTTTTTACAGAAAAACATGAACTACAACCAAATGACTTGGCTATCTCAAAATCTTTGGAGTCATCCAGTCGTATGTTTGTCTACCGGAAAGATCTGACTGATTCTTTGGTAAGAATCTGTATTATATACCTCCCAGTTTTTATTTGTCTAACTCGAGGGCTTTTTCAATGCAGAATTTATTTTTTGCTTCCTTAGTAAAGCTTAGTGAGCTGCTCTCTAAAAAGTATCTTGCATTAACAGCACTTATTTGACTGAGCAGTAATGGAATTTGTTCACCAATTCCACGTAGACCAAAGCTTCTGTACAGCTTAAATCTTTCAATCTGCATCAGCTTGGAAAAGCTGACTTGTGCTTGTACAAAACTGGATGGGATGAGGATTATTGAGGGCCTGTGTGACTTTTTTTTCCTTCTTTCCTTCCTCCCTCCCTCCCTCCCCGCTCTCCCTTGTACCTTTGTAACACTTCAAGTGGCCAATACATAATCATACAAAGTGATGGACAAACTCCACGGAATTACTACATGTAGAAATGGTTGTTTTGTGAGTTCTACCAAAATTACTGGACATCAGTGCAACCTCAGTGCTGTGACAGCTACATACATGGTCAGTCTCTGGCTGGCATGTCCTCTTCCCTTCCTTCTGGCTGTCTTGTCTCCCCGTCCTCTTGCTGGTGCTGGGTAGGAAAGCAGATTGAAGGGCAGCATGTCTCTCTCATTTCCTCTGTCCTTAGAAACTGCGATTGCAAATTCTCTCCGCTGGTGGTTTCCCAAAACCTCAGTGAGGCAGGAGCAGTCAGGCACTCAATTACTCTTCCAATAGCTTTCTGCTAGTTATGCAGACATTCCAAGAAAAGTGCAGGGGCAGTATCGCAGCTGACTTTTACGTGTTGTCAGTAACACTAAGGATCTGTGCATTTATCCTAGGGATAAGAAATGTCCATTTACATTTTGTTGGATCAATGTGCACTGAAGAGCTGACATGCCACTATCATTGTAATCTGTCATCCCCATTATCTCTGGTGTTCTAGCCGCCTCCAAAAATGCAGATATTAAGGGAAGGTTTCCAGCGCAGACAGGTGACAGCCAATCTAGTTTCATTAGTTACATAATAAAAATCACTTGCTGTAACTGTCAGAAATATAGCACCAAAGTAATGGCTTAACCTGTAGGAGTAATCTTTTATCTTGGCAGATGGCTCATGTGCCAAGTTTTAGCCTAATAAGGTAAAAAAACCCCAAGAAAAATGCAAACTTTTGAAAATCCAAGTAAATAAAGGAAATATGAAATGACCCTTGACACCAGCAGTACCAGTTCATTCCACATTAATACGCTAAGTAACTTTTATGAATCAGGACCCACAGTGCTTTACTGTTTGGTGATTATATTTGGAATAGATTAATCATAAAATGTATGTATTTATGTTATTTGTAAAGGTGGATTGGCAGGCAAGTTATGTGTATTTATTCTAAATCCAGTGTGTTTGCAGAATGATTTCTTTATCTTATAATATAAAAATTTCCTGGTGTCTTAATTCAGATTTTGTTTTCTGTTGGTTTTGGGGATTTGATTTTCATTATGCTGTCTGCTTGCTCAGTGTTTTATATTCAAGGTTTAGAGAGAGAAGAGGGAGAAGGCCTAATCCAGTAGCAAATCATTGATCCTATTGACCCATTTTCTGTTTCAAGCTATTTGTTAAATAGGCTATACTCCTTGATTTTGATTAGTGAGGGGAAAATCCCCCAGAGTGCACTTAGAGAAGATTACTTACTCAGCCCTGTTTGGTACCTTGGTCCTGTAGCTCTTTATTTGCAGAACTTTTAGAATTTGCTAAGGATTTCTTTACTCTTGATTTAGCACCCATTTGCTGAAAATGAGGAGTTGCAGCAAAGGTCTGTGAGAATTTTGGGAATCAACACCTGGGATCTTGCCTTAGAACTAACAAACTTTGACTGGAGCCTCTTCAATGCAATTCATGAGGTAAGAAATACTGTATCCTCCTCCAGGTATATTACTGTCATGCAGCATTGTGCCACTATGGTTCATTTTGGAGCACTGGTATTCCTTTATGCTCAGTTCACCATCAAGACAGCATGATTTGGCAGCTCAGTAGTGCTGGCATTGAATCAGGTCCAAGAGATGTGTTGCAATCCTCAAAACTGAGAAAAAAAAATTGTGAAAGGTTTGTAACTTCTCTGTACTGGGGCATCTCTTATGTTCCTTGTATATCTGGTGGGTTTTATTGAGATTTGCCTCAAGAGAATAGAAGAGTGTGATTATACTCTAAAACTGGCCTGTATGAATTGTTGTATTTGCCAGTTGTCCTTTGCACTGGATAATGTTCCAGTAAATATAGAACTTCACAAATAGGTGTACTTGATATCACTTTAACCACAAAAGAATTCACCATTTCAGCAATTTAGATGGTCACATTACTATTCTTGTTAGGCTCCAGTGAGACAAAAAAAAAATGGGTAGGCTTTTAAAATGGGATAATGGATCACTTCAGTGCCCATTGGGTTGTTTCAATGGCTTTTACAGGTTCTGGTGTGAGCTGCTGAGTAAAATACACATTTAACAGCAGAAAATGTCACTTAAAAATATCATTCACTGAAAAGCATGTTGGCTTTCTGAGAAAATGAAGGGCAAATTCCCTTGCTTCTCATCAGATGCTTTCCTCGATCTTTCATTTCATGTTCTTTTATTCAGGTTAGACACTTTAAATCTAGAGCTGATCAAGTTTGGGCTGTTTTGGAGTTTTTTACACAGAAATCAAGACCCACACCTCTGTTAATGAAAACTTGCCTATTTTTAGAAGAAGTTTGAATGGAAATTTTTCAGATTCTGCAGTGATCTGATATGGTTGCTTTTTCATATTGGAAGAGAAGTGATGAAATAGAGGAAGAGACAAACTGTTTATGTCCTATATCTGGTTGAAGCTAGAAGGAAATCTTACAAGAAAATTGTGTCTTGTAGGACTTCCAGTCTACCTGCCTACTATAATAAGCCTCTAGACTTTGCTAAGTCAAACCTGGACCCCAAATCTTTTTTGATTGGCTTGTGGATAATGAAAAAAAGTCACCATTTGTATCCAAGTCTTGTTTCAAAAACATAGTTCTAAATAATTTAGAATTAATTTACATTTAATTTTTTTTATATATCCATAATGATGTTGTCAATGTCTTCCAGCAAGAGCTGATATACTTCACATTCAGCAGACAGGGCAGTGCTGAAAACACCGAGAATCTCAGTCTTCTGCTTCAAAGATGCAATGAGGTCCAGCTTTGGGTTGCTACTGAGATACTCCTCTGCAGCCAGCTCTTCAAACGTGTACAGCTAGTCAAAAAGTTCATCAAGATTGCTGCCCAGTAAGTTATTAACATTGCAAAACAACAAAATTCCTTGAATTTGCATCCTTTGTTTGATGGGAAGTAGGTGCAAAAGCAAAGAAAGAAAACTAACTTTTCATCTTGTGTTTTAATAGTGTTGTAAGCATACCTAGATAAAACAGTCCGTAAATAACTACAAATACTGGCCAAAACTATATGTGTCAGAGTATATGCTGCTCAACTCTTCCCCAGCAACTTAGCCACTGTAGCTGCAGCATCAACTGCAAAATCCCTGATAGTGCACAGATACCTCCTTTCTTAGCAGAGATAACCTGAAGACCATATTACAAAAATATTTGAGCAGCAACACTGTTATTCACTGAAGACTACATGGAAACCAAAAATACTCTGTTAGAGGAAACTAGCTACAATAAGTTGTTGCCCTATGTAATCCTCTCTGGACTACTCTTCGATTTATTGGAGTGGGGGTCTTTATTAATTAGACTTGATAGTCTATTCTTGTGCTATTACTAAATAGTGCTGGTCTCTCTTCTATGCCTTGGAACAGAATAAAAATATATAATTTACACAGAGTGTTCTTTTCTCCGTAATCAGTCTTATTTTAGTAACCAAGGAAATGGAGCAGTTTAAATATGTGCAGCCATTCTCCTTGCCTCTCTTTCCATTTGTAGGTCTTCTGCAATATTTGAATATGCATGTTCATGGAAAATGTATAATTTGTTCCCTTCATCGACTGGGTTGATTTAATTTGCAAGGCACTTACATACAAAAGACTGTTCTCTGCTGAAGTAGTGCCTTTGGTGAAATGAATTCTTCTAATCTAATCTAGTGTAACTCATAAATGTGATTTGATTTAGATTGCAAGTTGTATGGTATCCAGTAATATGTTCAATTTCTGCCTTATCAATGGACACGTTTGGTCAAATTACGTCAAAACCAGTTGGTTCTGTGTGCCTTGTTTGCACCACAGTAGCACTAATTTGCATTCCAGGATGAGTTTCACGTCTGTCCCACATGAATAGAGATATATTTGTCACCCGACTAAAATGTTGCTTTATTTGAATTAATCCCATCTCTGTTACATGAAAAACCAAAGCTATGGAGACTAAATACAGTTGTCAATAAACAGCAAACTGTCTTTCCCGGTGCATTGCATCGTTGTAGCCTATAGACGATGAAATAATGGATACACAAGCAAGCGGGTGTGCTGTTTGCTTGCGATCTTTTTTAATCGGAAAAGCAACTTTCTAAAAGAAGACATTATTGTATCTTATCAATTTGGAAGAGTTGATAGAAGAGGAACAATTAGTGTGGAAGGATGGTGCGCTTAGCACAGGACCTGTCATGAGGCACAAGCTAAGAAGCCCTGCTATTTTGGTTTTGACTGGGGCAGAGAGGTAGGGAGCTGTGAGCAGCTCTGGCTGCTCCCTGTATTCTGCTCCCAGATTTGGTCAGGAACGTTTGTCTATGACTTTCAGCTTGTCAGGAAAGCACCAGGACTAACACCTCATGTTGAACGTTTGTGTGCTTTACTGCTGAAGAACACTTGAAGAAAATGGAAGGCTTTTACACAAATGTGTCAATACATAAAAGGGAAACGGAGTTTCTGAAACACAGATTCATACTCTTCTGTTGGTGAGCTAGTTTAAGATAGAAAACAAGAGATTCAATAAAGAAAATTAATTAGCATGTTGCTAGAAATTGACATTTTGAGGAGTTACAGAAACAGGTCATGAAGGTTTAGAATGAACAGATTATAACAGCAGCCTTCTCACTTGCCAAGCAATGGCTTACTATAAAATACATGCCTTCTTTCTACAGTTCTTTGTGTGAAGTGAGCTCACCCAATAGACAGTTTATTTGAGCTGTGTTGGACACCTTTCTTGTTTTGGAATGAATTACGTTTGGTAGCTGTCTGACTTGAATGATTAAAGGAGTCTAAGCAACAAAGTTAGGATTAACTTTAGGACAGCTGAAGTGAGGTGAGAAATACAGTCTCAAGATAGTATACAGCAATGAGTGCAAGCTTTATAAAACTTGTAAGAAGTGCTGGAAAATTTCCAGAGTAAGGCCTTGGCATGTGCTTTTCTCTGATAAATCCCAGTAAAGGCAGTGGATTCATTTGTATGTAAAATTATCTTCAAAGAGGATTCTCACTCACACACACATGCACATATATGTTTATTGTGGCCTTCAAGAATCTGCAAGAGAAAGAGGAATCTTTCAAAAAGGACTCAATACTTCAGGATTTCAAATATCCTAAGTGTCTAGAAATAGGCAGGGTCTGATCTTATACAGTAAAATGTCAAAGCATAGAGGTGTCAAGCAAATGCCGTAGGGACCTGTATTGGAACCAATGCTAAGTGCAACTGATTTATAGGGATATGTAAATTGAACATTAATCAAATTTTTAGACAATAGAAGTGATGAGGGTTTGCAAATGCATTGGAGAATAGGAAAAAAAAAAGAATGATCTAAGGAGTCTAGTGGCATGTGCAAACAACAGTAGGATAAGATTTAATTTAGATAGATGCAAAGTAATTCGGCTAGGGAATGCTAATACTGAGCTGAAGAAATAAATGCATGATTGTAAAGAACAGTACTGTGACAGAGGTACTTGAGCGGTAATAGATGACAAATTAAAGGCAAGGGCAAAGTGTGATGCTGTTCCAAATAAATAATTCGCTATTTGTTTTACACTTGCACAGGAGAAAGGTGTAAGAACTTAGAGCCGAACCAGTAATTATGTTTCTCCTTCCCTCCCCACTGTCTCACTACATCTCCTTGGTAAGAAGGAAACACATGAGAGAAAAGTTAAAATGAATTACAAAGAATTCAATGGAAGATAATAACAATATGGAAAAGTAGATTGCAGACCATGACCACAGAGAGAATTGAAGGAACCGATGATGTACAATTTATAGAGAAGACGAAAAAGAAGATGAAAATATTTATAATACAACAGAATAGAGGTCAATTATTCTGTATGGTAAAGGACAGCTGAGAGTAACTTGAACATTGAAAAGGGAAAATTACTTTTGACAGCAAAGAGAAAAAATAACCTGCCAACAACAGGGTTGATGAGACAGTGGAACGTTTGCTAAAAAACTTCTTAAAGACCCCATCACCTAGACTGCAGGTGGTCATGAGAGGACATTTAATGAGTTCATTATGTGGAAGATGATTGTATGTTAGTGCTGGGGGTTGAAATGGGACTCAGTAACCTAGGATACCTGTGCTTTCCATTTATCTCTGAGTACAAAAAATCAGAATACAGCATTCATATTTTTATTCCACAGCTGTAAAGCCCAAAGAAATCTGAATTCATTCTTTGCTATTGTTATGGGTCTCAACACTGCATCTGTCAGCCGGCTGTCTCAGACCTGGGAGGTAAGATGCATCTTTGTATCTTTTAGACCCTGTCAAAAGCATTTCTCACAAAGGTTGTATACTGGTAAAATACCCTTTCTGTCTAATTATTGTTTTTTTCATGCTGAAATCAAACACAGAGTGAGTGTTAGCAGGGAAACTTCTTTGTGACCTGAAACTTCAGATACAGTTATTCAAATAAAACTATCCTTCCAGAGCTTTTAAATAAGAACAAAGCAAGGAGATCTTACCCTCTTAAAGGTGAAATAAAAATCCTAGCATTTTAAGTAGATGTCAGAACAGAAAGTCTCATAAAGGTGGCTCCAAACAAGCAAATATGGAATAAATTAATTTAAAAGACAAGCCAACCAACCAAACAAAACTCACAAAGTAGAAATAAACCTTTTTTAGTTCTCTTTTATCAGCACTTTTGCAGCTGCTCATCTTGAACTGCAAAGTTAGGAAATGGGCTATGAATAAGGAGCCTACTGGAGCACAGACATTATCTCCTAAAGAAGCTACTGGTGCCTAGACAGAGTATGGGATATTTAGAGGAGGGTCCCACCGGGATCTGTGCTTATATTGTGGATTTTTTTTTTCTATCCAAGTAAATTATTGAGTGTTAGTGTCTGCAAGCTTGCTATGTCTACTGATGAACTGAAAATTGGGGAAGGAGCAATTTAATGTGATGGGGTGAAGCCCTATCCCTCCCCCATGCCCCCAACACTACAAGTGGGCAGTACTCAAAAAATGTTAATCTGTAATACAAAGTGACAGAAAATGGCTGTGATCTCCTGCCTTGGACATATTTGTGAGCACCAACAGCTGAAGCCAAATGGCCATCAGAGACTTACTTACAAACCTATCTAAGACTGTCCAGGCAAAGTCTTACCCCTTAGCTGAAATCATGCATATGGAAACATTGCTGTGTAGGTCAGTGACTTTGGCACACAGAGAATCAAGGGCAGTGACTTCTTCAGCAGGGAAGATTTTACAGGAACTCAGATAGGCAAGGAGGAGCTAACTTTAAATAACAGGTGAAGCAAATATGTTAAGAGAAAATACACACCTGAGGACGACAATACAGAAACCTTTTGTCTTTCCTATTTCTAAAATGCCTTTCTAGGAGACATCTGCCCTTGCCTGCTCTTGTGGGTTGCCTTCATCCCATTTCTCTGGGCTTTGGTAGGAGAGCAGAAGGGTTTAAATAGTGTATCTAAGGCAACCGGTGGCAGTGGTGTAGATCTGTCCCACAGAGAAACATGTAGAACTCTGCTGTGACATGAGGCCTCTGGAGATCATGCGCTGCTGGTGGACTTCTCTCAGGAAGAGCAGAATAAATTGCTTGTCAGAACAAGGAGTACATCTGCATGTGTATTGTTTAAAATGTGTCACGTTTCTGTGTATAAAATATTTACGAAGACACATGCATCTAAAAAAAAAACCCCACAACTTTATTGCACTGGAAATTTCAAAAGCAGAAGGTTATTTGCATTAGTAATGTGACTTCTAGGAAGCAGAGCAATGTTTATAAATTAATTATAATTACTTACACTTGTAAATGAAACAACCTAAATTTAAGCAACCATTTAGATAGTAAACTATATTGGCTCTGCACTTGAATTCTTAAACAAGTAGTATTCTCCCAAACACCTTCTTCTACCATTTTTTTTGCCTACGTTATGCAGTGTTTTAATGAGCTTAACTTTCCCTGATTGAAGATGTTAAAAATGTGCAATTGCAATTCCATGTTCAGTTATTTTAGCATTTTAATCATACAGCACATCCACTTAATTGTTCTAAATCTCTTTTCCTTTGGTAGTGTCACTGTGGCTGCCAGGGTCTAAGGACAAAGACAAGACAGGATTTGTAGTAAGAGGGGATATCTTTTACTGGACTAACTAGTATGGTTGGGAAAAAATAGGCTTGAAGGTCCACACACCCTTCTTCAAGTCTGAAATACCAGCAGCAAAATTCAAATTGGAGAACAATTGCTTTGAGTATAATGAGGTGAATCCATTAAAGCATCTTAGAGATAAAGGAAGCGGATGCTTGTGGAGTAGAGCAAGTGTTAGCATGTGGGCAAGAAGGCAGTTTATGCCTGGCCTCCCTCGGAAGGTGCTTTGTGCACCTCCCTGTGGGATTAGGATGAGATACCAAAGATGGATTAATTGTTTGTTAAGGACAGATCTCTCTCTGGCACCAGCATGTGCCAGCAGTAGCACTGGCCAACACTGGGGGTGGTGTATCAAACAGCACCGAGTGTGATGGCTATTAATTTCTAGAACCCTTGTTTCAAGGAAAGATTGGTTACAACCAATAGTTTAACCTGGATGTGATCACAGTATCTGCATCCTCAGCCTGTGTTACTGCTTCTGTCTTGATACAGATATTATGGTAAACACAGCAGACGTGGAAGCTAGGGAAGAAAATAAAATCAGCTGCTAACAAGCAGTTTCCGTGAAAGAAGGATCCGTGAGGTGAGGCTGTAGGCTCCGGAGCCTCACTGACCTTGACTGAACATGATCTGTAATTAGGGCTCTTGGAGCTGAGGAGTGGAGGTTGACTGCCTGTTGGTGTTTTGGCAGGCACTTCACCCACAGCAGTCTGATGGAATAAAAATGCATCAGCATTTTTCTGCCTAAATCAACTTTCCTTTCTGTCTCTGTTTTCCCCACTTCAGAAAATTCCTGGGAAGTTCAAGAAACTTTTCACTGAACTTGAAAGTTTGACGGTAAGTGCAGTGTTGAGAGCCGAACAACATTGCTTGCCTTTACCTGCCTTCCTTCTTCCTTATTTATTTGGAGGCTGCCTTTTGTTGTCTGGAGCTGGAGCTTGTCATGTCAGATCTGTGATTTGCCAAAGGCCACGCAGCTCTCCAGAGCTCAGAGGTGGTCTCCAAACACACAAAAAGAAAGAAGCTGTATTCCTGACAGCTGGAAGAAGGGCAGAGAGGCAAATGTAGTGTTGGTTCCCCAGCATCAATTTGGAAGCTGTTCTTTTACTCTGGTGGTTAATCAGCCTTTATCCAAAGCAACGTGCTGTGGATCAGGAGAAAAGGAGGACAGCTGAGGTTGGGAAAAAAAATCAAAATCCGAGGCTAAGGGTCTTTGTCAGCATTATCAAAGCTGAATAAACAAGTGTTTCCTCTGGCTGTCATGAAAGTGGGTGCGTGGTGAGATCGCTGCCTGGTGCGGGGAACATGAGACCCAGGCTTCCAACGGCTGTCATGCTTCTGTACTTAGAGTCTTTTATAAATTAATGTGTTTTCAAGATTGTGTGTGAGCTTGTGTACAAAAATGTTTGTTTATATGGGAAATGGAGATGCCTTTTTGAATTACTTGCGCAACACCACTGAAACATACTCTTTTCTTTGAAAATCTCCAATATGCTCCACTGATCTGAGAGCAGTTTTTGCTGGGATTTTTTTGTCATTCTTCACTGATGTTTGTTGTTGGTTTTGTTTTGTTTTGTTTTTTTGAGGAAAAAAATTGATCAGCAATACATTCTGAGATACATTTTGTGCTAGATAGTAAGTGTAAGAGGTTTTGCTAGTAGAAATTTGTGGGGAAATTACAGAACAGTCCAAGTGAATCTATTCTGCAGCTTGCTCTCGTTTTAGCACTGCTTCATTTAGAGGAACGTAATTGCTTTTGTTCCTTTCACTGTTTATGTTTCCTGTTCAGTTTAGTAAGTCACCTAGCTTAGAAAACCCTTATCTACCTTGTTTCCAAAGAAACCTTTTGTATCTAAATCATGTTCAGATCATAAGCCCGTAATGGATTTAGAATTGCTCTTTTTATAGCCTATTGATTTTTCTCTCTATTACCCAAATGGTTTTGTAGGACCCTTCTCTGAATCACAAAGCTTACAGAGATGCATTCAAGAAAATGAAATCTCCGAAAATCCCCTTCATGCCCTTACTTCTGAAAGGTAATGTTAAAGCCTGGCTGCTCTTCTTCATTGTGGTTAATTAAAATAAGTGTAAGGTAATTTTTCCTTCAGCTGGCGCTATGATAACCATGTGGCACATGTAGTGGCATCTACAAGATAGCATTTGGTCTGGATAATAAACATCTGCCTTTTACGACAGGAAGATGGCAATTTTCACACAGGTTTTCAGTACCTTCCTGTCAGGTGTGAATAGAGCAGTGTGCCATTGCTTTGGCCACATCCTCTTCAGTGGAGAAGCGAGACCTTGCAATGCCTGAACAGGGCTGCGCAGCTGCATTGCCTGCACCCACGGAAGCAGCCTCCGTCATGCTGCTGCTCTGTGATGCTTGCCCTGCCTCGACAGGGTGAACCTACCCCGTGACACCCTGAAGGCAGAACCTGCCCTGTCTTTCTGTCCTGAGAGTAGGGTTTTCAAGCCTTTTATAGGTCTGAAAGAGATAAATAAAATCTTATTATTA